TTACTGCATCCCTTTCACACGCTAAGCACTGGATTAACCACACACCAAGGACCCAGAAATGGGTGCAATGCAAGTCCTCCCTTGGTAGTTCACTGTCTGCTGTATGTGATGGACAAAAAAGGCCACATATAAAAATACAGCAGATCAATTTCTTCATTAGATGTATAAGGGTCAGACAGAGAACAGAAGGCATAATTCAAGTTTCACAAAAAGGTCTGAGACACCTTGAGTTTCGCTTGTTCTTTTCTTTTGATGTTATTTTCTTTTTATTTCTATACATTATATTAAAAGTAATTAAGGAATCAGATTCTTGCCTTGACACTATTTGTTCCACTATATAATACAAGGCTCATTCCTACTACCCTCACAAAGAAAACTTCCATTCTAAGTTTTTTTTATTTTAATTGGGAAGAGATTTTGTTTATGCACACTTCTGGGTTTCAAAGCTTCTTTTTGGATCAAGGACTCCCTGGAAAATCTGATGAAAGTGCTAGACTTTATATACTCATACATACATGTAAGCATGCTCACATACAAATCTCGCATGCAGTTTAAAGGAGTTCACCGACCTCACTCCAATGAGTGTACCCTCAGATTCTGAGCAAAGATCTCTCCTCTACCAACATGTTAGGGATGATAAGCCTGTCATGTAATCATGGTATCACGTATTTATACATCAGTTCATAGCTTGATATACTTCTGAAATTCCTAAAATAAATGACTTAATCAATAGGTCCAGACTTTAAAGACAACAAACAATCTGATTTCTACAAGGCATTCTCTAAATATCCATAACATAGCAGACATAAAATCTAGCATGGATATGTGCATGAGGTAGGTCACAGAAACTATAATCAGCCCTTAAAACCTGGGTCTAATCACCACTGACATGAGCAGACTCAGCCTCAAACTGTGAGATCAACGTTTCGTACATATGATATTTTCTTTTGAATTAGAAAACTCTGTTGGTGGAAATGGTTGCTGGGGTTTGGGATGGTGGTGGAGGGGGTGTGACTGTAACCGGGGATAGTGTGAGGGAGATCTTTGTGGTGAGGGCACAGAGCTGTAGTTACTGGATCCACAGATGGGATGCAGTGGCACAGAACTGCACACACAGATTGCACCAGTGCCACTTTCCTGGTTTTCATCTTGTACAATAGTAAGATGCAGTCCCTGGGATAACAGGACGAAGGGCACATGGAACCCCTCTGAACTATCTTTACACCTTCTGTGCATCTATATTATTTCCAAATGAAAGTTTAAAAATCCTGAAAGCTAAAAAAAAAAAAAAAAATCTCATGACTGTTACTAATCAAGCACAGCTGACGTTTTTGGATATAAACACAATTCGGATCATTCGACTTGTAGGAGAAACCAGAAAACACACAAGCAATACACCTCAGCCTGCAACGTCGGTGACAGAGCAACACGGCTCCCAGAGGTGGCCCATATTTTGAACCCATGACAATTCAACTCCAACTGAAGGCCAGGTGGTGACGTTTTCAAAGTTAAACCATTTCTGTCAGCAAAATGAGAGTAACAGCCAGTCATTCTCCTAAGTTATGTCTTTGACAAAACCTCCAAGAAAATTTCCAAGGCATAACTGCCATCATTTAAATGTAGTTTTTTTTTTTTTAAGGCATAAAAGTTAATTAACATTGGCAGTATTATGGTAGAGGAGAAAGGAATGATTTTGGAGGGACCTGGACTAAATCCCATTCGTGCCACTCTGGAACTTTGTAACAAATCTTTCTAAGCCTCAGTTTCCTCATCACTAAAAAGATGACAAATAATAATACCTACTTCATGGGATTGTTACAAGGATTAAGTGAGATACCATTGTAAGTGTCTAGCACGGTGTCTGACCTACAGATGCTTAATGAAGTGGTGATTTCTATTATTATGACAGTCAGGTTGTAGAAATTAGTAAACTTGGCTTACTGTGAAAGACAGGATACAGCCCAAGCCAGATGTGGTCAGTACCCAGGAATTCTTTAAATCTAGATGCCCGGGTAAGATCCATATCAGCCCCTAATCCAGAGCATCCGAGAGGTGTCACCACCACGGTTCCCAAGAGGCTTCAGGCCTGTGACCTCAAGCAGCACCTCTGCCTTGGCGATGCCACAGAAATTCTGGCCAGGGTAGCTGTGGGGGCCGAGGGAGTGAAAACAAAGCAATACTCATTCCAGCTATGAGCGGAAGCCAAAAGAGGTTGTACTTTCAGACAGATCTGATCAAAGGCCTCCTGCCCTTGGCTATGAGGGCTGTTGTAACTAACATGTAAGGTTTCTTAGCAACGGTTTATTCAGGAAGGTACAGGTGTGTCTCAATAAAAGCAAACTCTATATAAGAAAACCCACAGGTATGTAAAATGTAAATTTAAAAGTGACTCTGCTTTACAGAAAGATTTTGTATTTGGTGTCCTAAAATATGATTAGATTTAAATACATTCTATCTTCTACACCCATGAAGCTATAAGTTAACTGGAAAACACCGCAGAGGCCCAATGTCCTCAGAGTGGTATGTGCAGCACAGCGTGACCAGCAGCGTGGGTGTCCCCTGGGAGCTCCTGGGAAACGCAGGATCTGGGGACTCACCCACTCCCCCGTGAGCCAGATCTCGGGTTTAACAAAATTCCCAGATGATTTGTGCACATATTGTGATTTGAGAAGCCCTGTCCTAGATGATGTTTGTGACCCTAAAGCCAGAAGCTCTGCCAACAGTCACACATGAGGACTTCCGCTGGTGGCTCTTGCTTATTCCTCAATCCTCACTACACATCAGAATGATCTCCTGACTCACATGGGTATGCTTTTTTTCAATCAAAAATTTTTTTCTTCTTTTTCTAACATTTTGCCTGGACCCTAACCCAAAATTTGGATTTAATTGGTCTGGGGTGGGACCCTGGCATTAGCATTTTTTCAAAAGCTCCTTAAGTGATTCAAAGGCAAGTGTCCCAGAAAAACTGCTACAGATCAAGAGCTGCACCCCGATATAAAACCTTGTCTTGCAAACAACAGGATTAAATGCCACTGGAAGAAAACATTAAACTAGAATGAGAGATTAAGATGTGCCTGGATATAAATCTTGCACAAAACAGTATTCTGTCAAATGTGGTCTTCTCTACACCAATTGTACCAAAATAGATTTTTCCTGGCCCATCCTAGGGAATGGTTTCTGAAGCTCCTCACATACAGGCTCACTTTAGCATGCTCATGAATGACTGCACTACCAAAAAGCCAAGAGACAGCAAGCAGTGCTGCACCTGGCACTAGCAGGTCCTCAAACAGATGTCTGCCAGAGGACTAGAACCCTCTAATCCCCTCTAACAAAAAGCTTTCCTGTGCTTACTACATAAGTTAGTTCTTTCAAAGTTCTACCAAAGCCCACAAATAGTATTTCCGTTCCTGATCTGCTCAACTGTAAAATGTCAGAGTTCTGGAGGAGACGCGGGCTTGCAGGCAGTGGGATGGCCAGGGAGGATCAAGTGATCCCAGACTGCAAGGATGGGAGAAGCCAGTGCAGTGGGGACCCAAGACTGAGCGCTGCAATAAACAGGTTTGCACTGGGGGTCCAGGGTGGGCTCTGGGCTGATGCAAAGGTGCAGCGTGTAGCCATGGGAGGGGCTTGTTAGAGCGGAGGTGACAGAGTATCTCTGAGATACTGAAGCTACTGAGAATGGTCAAAGCAGAGTGGCTCAGGAAGATGGAAGTAAGCCAAATGCGAAGTCCTTAGTGAGCAAGGCAGAGGGCCTAATCCAGGTCCCCCAGAACCACTGGGGGCAGAGGTGTCACCAGAAGGAGGGTTGCCTGATGACCCAGGCTCTTTCCACCCGCATCTTGTGAAGGAAGCATCCATCAGTGCCTGATATCAGAACGCCTCCACCCGGATGACTGGCCTCAACATGACTCAGAGACCCATGGCCTGGCCCTTCAGCAAGCCACGGGGCCAGGGTTCCTTTTCCTTTCGCTGCTACAGGTACAGGGCCAGAAGAGTTGTACAAGATAGGAATTTAGTCACAATGTGCAAAGGAAATTGCCAGAGAAAATTTCCAGTAATTGGTAACTCTATAGTCTTTGGAAATAATACCAAGTAACAAATAGCTACCACCCTGGAAAAATTTCTTTCAGCCTGGAGAAATGTCAAAAATAAATGAAACAAGTCATTTTTATTCTACAGTCACCAAGGGCCTTGGCTAGGAACCAATAAAGAAACAGAAGTAGGACATACCAGGTCAGTTAGACTAACAGCTGTAGCAACCACATATTCTGTATTTTTGCAGACAACATCAATTAAAAATTTTTATCCTATTTCCAGAAATCCATACTTCAAAAATTCTTATGTTTTGACATCCACTCTACATCCAGGGCTGTCTCTTACACAGCGCTGGAAATGGCACAAAAAAATTTGTGCTACATTTACATAGCCCAGTTTAATAATTAGGACTGTGAACTATGGCTTCAGTCACCTTATTCTTACCTTCTAGTTTTGAAACAAACAGTAATGTACAAGGGAGGAAAACTCCCTTCCAGAGTTTTGATGCTGATACAACCCTTTTTCAAAATGCTTTTAAAACTAGCAGACCAGAACTACAGTACATACACGACAGTGTTCCTCCACAAGCCATATTCCAGGTAAGGTTGCGTGGTCCGAGCAAAGCAGACAAAAGCCCGGCCTGCCACCTCCGTCTCTCACGGAGTGGGAGAGGTACTCTTCCCTGTGGTCGCATCAGCAGCGGGCACCCCTCCCTCATTTAGTCTAGTCCTCACACGAGAAAAAAACAAACAAGTAACACATAGACTTTAGATTCTTTATGAAGCTTATTACCTACCAACTTTTATTTTTAAGAGGATTACATTTAGCCTTTGTTTGAGTCTCTAAAGCTTTTTTTTGGTAACTTTCTCTGAAAAGTACTATTAGTAATAGATACAAACAGTTCTGTACGCGACTGAAGATCAAGCAATGTCCAGACAGAACATCATAAACCGTATGCGACTTACCTCAGGAGTCTTCTTACTCTGTCTTTTCCCAAAAATGCAGTCAAGATCTGTCTTGCTCCGAGATGACAGATCCTTCCCTAGAAAAACAACACAATGCCTTTTCAGTAATACCATTCCTTCTAAAATAAGAGGCACAAATATAAACCATGAAACTCCTAAACGCAAAATGGGTTTTAGAAAAGAAACAACTCTGCTAACTACTCACTTTGTTTCCTCTTCAGAGATTACAACTCCTTAATTAATAAGTAACATTAATTAAATTTAAAATCACCTAAGACTCAGGTAAGTATTTTAGAGCCAGAACCCTTGACCTCTTAATGGCAGAAACATGAACAGCCAGTGGACTGAGAGGAACACGAGATCCTATAGCGGCTCTGCTACCGGCCTGCTGTCAGGGTATGACGGGGCTTGCGGGGCTCCCCATTTATAAAACAGACCTCATTTATTTCAAGGAGACACGAGCTACTTAGGATTATGAAATGCAGGATAAAATGTTTCAGAACCCTATATATTCACATGAATGAGAACATACTGTATTTGACACATAGCAGCTCAGTAATTAAATGAAAATTTAAAAAGACATGCAAATAAAAATTACTGTATTAGAGTGAAAGTTGTTTCCAATTTCTCTTTCTGAAATGGTTTATACTGTTACATCGCCTTGAAATAAAAGGACACATAATAAAAGCAGGAAATTAAATGGTTTTTTGCGAAAAGCAGTGTCTAAAGGATCCATGATTCTTCTCAAAAACACTAAACACTTTAACTTAATTTCAAACCCACAAACCAGCTCATTTAAAATTCACTTCTTTGGAATTTTCACTTCTACCAATAATAGTCTGTGAGCAGTCAACCAAATTCATTCTCATTTGTCAAGCTCATGGCAAATGTATTTTAAAATACAACCACTGCATTCATGTCTTGAGGATCTGGGGGAGCGAGGCTCAGGGTTAGACACAGGAATTTCTGTTTGCAGTTGGAAGCTCAACTTCCACTGTCATAGACTCACTTGTCTTCTTGGTTTCCTGCAGCAAACTGACTTGACAAAGTAACATCATGACCCAGAAGGTTCTAGTTCACTGACTATCACTGGGGCATTCAAATATGATATTGCTCAGTGACTCCATGAAATTAAAAAGCAGAACACCCTTCAACGTAATGTAAAGCCAGGTTTCATAGGCAGCAGTACCAGATTCAGTGGTCCACTCAGGACCACCTGTCCCTACCAGGAGGAACATGAACCCCTGTGTTCCATGCTGTGCTCTCCTTTCTTCCTAAGATGGAAACAAAGCCCTCCTGGTTCTAAGTAATTCATAAGTAGAACCCAGACAGAAGATACCAAAGGAAATGTACTTGAGAACGAAGTGAAGCATATCCCAGATAGGAACTCAGAAAATGAATCAGAGAACCGGGACATGAAACTGATCATGGTGTGGAGGGGGACAAACCCTTAGGAGGTCGAGTATCTCTTCTTAACTCTGCCACCAGCACGACCCGTTCTGCACTGCAGAGCACGTTCAGGGCGGCAGCTCCCATTTCAGAATAAGGAGCTGTGCTTAGTTCAGAATACGCATCGGCCGTCTACCCCTATCCTATCTTCTGGAATGGAACAGATGCCCTAAAAGAGATGCACATTAGGATAAAACTAGATAAAAAAGGAATGCTGAGGGATTAAGGAAGAGAAGGTATGTGCAAGATCATTATTCTGAAACAGGGTGCCAAAATAGGAACACACAAAAGTCAAAGGGAAAACTGCCAAGCTGGCAGAGACGGAAGGCTATCTCAACGAAGTTCCTAAGTTTTGGTGACGGGTTCTTATATCAGGAATTTTTATCCTTTAGCAAAGTTCAATTAAGTAAATGTAGAAACCAAGATTGTTACAGGGCTTGCTCTGGATTTAATCTGGAAAACAAAACACAGAGAAGAAGTAAGAGTCAGACACCAATGGAAAGGAAGTTAAAAGTAGATAAAAATGTGAAGATGGAAGTGATATTGTGATAGTTATTTGTTAACGGCCCTGGTTGAATGGTTCATAAACATTATAAAATTATGACCACCTCTGAATAAAATATACATATTAAAAATGTGTTTGAAAGCTTAATGACAGCAAATACTGTTGACAAATTTAGATCTTAGAGAAAATGACAGAAAATTGAACAGAAAAGGATATACGGGGTCTGCCTGGGTGGTTCATCGGTCTCTCAGTCTTCACTTGGCCGTAACACTTTGAGAACCAGGAGGCACGCTCCCAGGGCCAAGCTGCCATAGTAACGCCCATGAAAGGATGAGTGGAGGCTTTCAGAGAAGAGCACTTTATTATAATCACTTTAGCTGTTTTTCTAAAACCTCATGATTATCAGGTTTCAAGGGCTATCAAGGTAGCAAACCGGGAGGGAGGAATGTTATAGCCACAGCCGACACACTTGTAATACCAAGATGTCAACACAGCAAGCAAGGAAACTGTTAAAAATAAACATAAGAGTTTAAAAATCACAGAGATATGAACCCTCTAGTTAAAGCACACAGGTCAAATTTAGAACCCAGGATGTCCTAAGGAGAAAACTGTACTACACACTGTAAGGGAAGCTCCAAATTCCTTGAGGTTTCTACCCAAAGTACAGGGACAAGGGTAAGGAAATGCAGGTCTGAGACGTATTTGTTGAATAAGACATGGAAGGTTTATGCAGGCAGCTTCATTTGCTTAGAAAATTCATTTGTATTCCCCAATCAAGAAGAGTAAGAAATTACGTTGTATTTTGATTTTTTTTTTTTTAATGAAAACACATGGTATTTTTAATAAGCACAGGACAAAAGACTAGGGCAACTTCCCTGAAGGGTCAAGTCAGAAAACTGAAAAACCTGAGAGAATCAGTACAGGGGGTGAAATAAGTGAGAACCTCACAACCAATAATAAGATCGTCAGAATTTTTTTAAAGCCTGTATTTATTTTCAATGTCATAAGACTCAGAAGAGAAAACAGCACCCACCCCTGGAAGAGACCCCTGTGGGGAAGAGTCAGCCAGGCTAGGAATCCACGGGCTGCTGTTCCAGACCAGCAAGACGGCTACCCCGACGGCACGTGCATGTAGCTGCCTTGTTCAAAGAAGCAAAATATTACAACCTGTCACAGGGATGACCAGTCTGAGTGAACTACCTCGATGAACCCACACAGCTCCAATCCACTCAACTGTCCATCCACCCACTGCCCAACGGGAGGAGAAGAGCAGTGCCTTTCTGACAATGGCTCACTTCAAAAATGCTTTAAAACTCCGAAAATGCTTTTGTACAAAGTGACAGTTTCCCTACTTTTTTTCCTCTGCAGAGATGGCCTCACCAAGTAGTTTTCCAGTTAAAAGAAACTACACTGAAGTCGGGCTTTTCAACAAATATGGATGAAATTAACTTTTTAAATTATATAATGAATTATTTCAAATTAAAATTATAAACTTGGGACTAGAGAAACAAATTATTTTGTATCAAACTTAAAATGATACAGCCAATATTTAGGCAGCAACAAATTTTATAATGCTATTTGCTACTATAATTTCACTAAAATGAAATTTCTATCTTTACCCTTCACACCAAGCTGTATAAAATGCCACCCTTCCATGTTTTAGTCCCTTGGATGACAGATGGAACTACATGCACCATCGCCATCAAGTCAGTGAGCCAGTTACTTTCATTATGAGCATACCATGGGCTAACTTTATTATCTGTTATGCTGAACAATGAGAAGTTCCCTAAAACGGATCACTGCTGATAAATCATAAAACAGACCTCTTATATAACTTGATAATGACTTAACAATCTTTCCTAATTTTACAAAAAAGGAAACTGAGTCTGGAAGAAGGGAAGTGGTTAAGTGATGGTCAGAACCCAGGTTTCCTGGGACCGAACACAGTCCACTTTAGGGAAAATTTGGAGTTTATCATTCATATTCAGTGACAAAATTTCTACAAGAAAAGATTTCTTCAAGTATTTAAAAGAAGTCTAAAATAACTTTCACTGTGAATTATTAAGAGAAATGCTAAATAAATTTTCCTCACTACCTATATTTCTGCTTCCTTCTCCCTTCTTTTCTACTTAGTCCCAACTTGCATTTCTTCCATTTTCCCATTCAAATCTCCTCTGCTACCTTTCTGGCGAAATACATGTAACTTTCTTCCCTGTACACCAATGGCCCCTTCCCAACCAAGGCTAGCAGATAAGCAACCCTCATTTTAAAAGAGAGACAATGAAAGGACAATACACCAAGCAGGTTGACAGGGTCGCCTGGCAAGGGAGTGGCTTAAATAGAAACAGAAGCAGATACTCCCGGCATCCATTACATTAAAGTAGATTAAAGTAGATTAAGGATGTTTATCTCAACTTCAGCAAATACTTCAAACGAAATCATGCATGTAGTCAGGTACTAAAGGAAAATTAGATTTTATTTGCAGAAGTAAAAGCTTAAAAGGCGCCCATAGCATCCAAAAGTTATAGGCCACTTCTTATTTTATTAATCGGCTCAACACCCTTGTGCCGTATCTCTGTTTTTTTCTACAGGGGCTAATAGAGAAAAGAGGGCTATTTAGGGACTGAGCTTGCAGTGACCACCGAGCCTCTCTTCCAAAGGACTGTCTTCTGCTCGGCCGCAGGTTGGGAATGGAGAGAATCCCTGATCAGAAGCTACACAGGAGAAGAACGAGGAAGGCTCTGGCTGAGAGAGAGAAAGAGCAGCATCGTGGGGAGAGCCAAGCCATGCCTGCTGGGACAGGGAAGGGGAAGTACCGGCCTTACAGCCACGCACACATCCCCAAAGCTCCTCAGCGCCTGACTTCATTCAGCACCGCCATGGCTCTCATTTAAACTAAGCTCAGCCCACCTTTTGGGGTTCTGGTCCCAAATGAGAACCTCCACTGACAGTTCAGAGCAGGGGAACTCCATCTCCCACTGCCAGTCAGGCTCCTAGGCCTCAGGGCCTGGTTCCCGAGCATGCCAACAAGACCTACGGCTGAGAAATGTGCTTTGCCTGGCATATAGAGGTAAAAAACGTACATTCAGTCTCCCTTTGAACCATCCAATGATGACTAGATTTTTTTAACTTATCATCCTATTTATACTTCAGTAGATTATGTGGTAAGTAGGCTTTTGTGCCTGGAAAGCGCCCTCACTATGTAACACTATTCTATGGGAAAACCTATGCGGAAGATGTGGGCAAGTGAAATTGTTTCTCACCAATTCAAGGCCGCCACCTAGTGGTGACAGAGGCCAGCTGCATGCACAGCTGACTGGGTCCCAGGAACCAGGCTGGTTAACGCAGGAAGATAGGGTTTGCCACCCAGTTCTCAAATGCTTTTTCTAACCCTTTCTTTGCAAGGACCATGGAATGCCTAAGTTAACATCCAAAGAAACAGAAACAGTGGACAATTAATACGAGTCAACTTGGGAGTGAAATTTCTCATACTGGAGGCCTCAATATAGAGCACACTTCTCTAAACTGGCACATTCCAGGAGCTATTCAACACTGCCATTAAGTTCTGAAAAACAGGAAAATGTAACCAAAACTGGTGAGCAATAATTAAAATTACCTTCTGACTTAGCCAAATAAAGTCGTTCTCCTCTAAACAGCAAGTCGACTTCCCGCTTTTGGCTTTGCCAAAGGGCTTGTCTAGAACTGAATCTGCAGCCCCACCTCCAACTCCGCGAATCTACATGTGCACTTGAACGAGATCCCCAGGTGATGCACAGTGAATGAAACTCTAGCACTGCTTTAGACCAAGCCAGTCAGGCCATCCATACATCCCCATTTTGTACATGAAACAAGCAGCAATGCTGGTGAAAAGCTAAAAATGCCTTAATAACCCAGTGTGAACATGCAGATTATAATGACAAAGAAATACTTGATTTTACCTTTTGTGAATTTCATATAATGAACACGGTTTTTGGAGACTTTGGACTTTTCTTCTAGGCTGAAAGACTTCTTTTCCTTGTTGTCTGAGGAGTCTTTAAGAAAAGGAATGAAAAAGCAGTACATTGAACTCTCTGTAATCCATTCTCATTTATTCTTTACAGTGACATGGTATTATTTAAATAAATTCTTTAGGAGCCCTATCACTTATTATTGAACTCTAATCAAATGATTAGAAATATTCTTCTTAAACTGTATACTAAGAATCAGGCAAGGCTGTTGACAAGAAATTGCGGAACTCCTTCCTCAGGAAGAGAAATGAGAACTTGTGTTCACAGACACCTAAACAGCCTTATTCATAATAGTAAAACACTGGGAATAACCCCAAATTCTTTCAGTGGGTGAATGGCTGAGCAAATTCTGTACCTTCTCCTCCAAGTGGAACCTACCGGGAGCCCTCCACCACAATAAAGAGGAATGAGCTGTTGGCACTCACAACAACCTGGCTGGACCTCGAGAGCATTATGCTTAATGACATAGGTCTATCTACACACTATAGGATTCCATTTATATAACATTCTCAGCATGACAAAACTGTAGAGATAGAGAACAGGTGAATGGTTTCCAAGGGACGGGACTTAAGTGGGGAGTTGGAGGATGGCAGGGTGGAAGGTGGGTTTCAATATAAGAGGCAGTGGAGGCAACTCTTTTGCGGTAAAGAAACAATCCTGTATCTGAATTGTGATGCTGCTACATGAATCTATACATGTGATAAAATTGCATAGTACACACACATACACAAACACCAAAAAAAATGAAGGCTAAAGACTGTGGTGAGAACTGAATGAGGTCTGTGGTCTAGTTAGCAGTCAACAGCAGGTTTTGATACTATGCTACAGCCATGCTAGGTGTCACCATTGGGGGACTGCGTAAATGGTATTCAGAACTCTTTGTAGCACTATTTCTGCAATTTCCTACAATTATTTCAAAATAAAAAATTCTTTTAAGAAATGAATAAAGGTAAGACAGGTTGAACAATAATCAGAGATGATGACCATGTAGAGTGTGAGGAGCAGAGCTGCCTCCATTACCAGCTGCACTGGAGGCTCACCTTCAAGGGCAAAAGCAACAGGAACGAGTCACTGAGGAATAAACTCATGTGGTTATTTCTCTGAAAAAAGGGAAAATGTGAGCCAGAAAGTCATCCCTTGTCTGAAACATCAGAGCAAATGGATTTGGGGTTAAAGTCAATGGTAGGCTAGTAACTCACTGCCTACACTCCTTCCCCTTTGTCTGCTTGGCAGGGCCAGGTAGCAGAGTACCACGGAAACAGAGCAGAGAAGGTAGAAGAGAGGCTGAATTCTCCTATGGTGATGTCATAAGGCAATACACATATGAAATTAGAGAAAAGAGTAAAAAGGAAAATTTCCCCTTAATCTGGAGCAAAATAAGCACATATCCATTGAGTATGTTAGCTAACTGTAATCCCTTCCAGGAATTAGAAATTTCCAAAGCAAAATGTGAATTAAATAGCAAGGCTCTCAGCAAAGTAAAGACCCCTGTTTCACACTTTCAGACAATACCCAGCATGGGTTGATTATATCCACCACCTGAAACCTACTCTTCTGCAGTCACTTCCAAAGAACAGCTTGGGATTCTTTTCAAAGACATCCTGCCAGTCAAATTTTCTCCTCCTTTTGAGGCCAAACATTTCACATGGCACATATTCTCAATTTTGATGTTTCAAACACAATCACCTAGTAGGTTATGAGCTCAAAGTGGCCACTGTCAGCTGAAGGGTTACTAAGTACTAAGTGCTGGGCTTGCAGCTTTCTGTGCATTCTTGTATTTCATTCACAACCACCCTATATGGCATGTGCTACATTTATTAAACTTACTCCACAGAAGGGCACTGAAGCACACAGGGGCCAAATAAGGCACATCCAGGAGGTAACTATGATGGGATTCAAACCCAGGCAGTTGTGAGTGGGAATCCATTCTTCACCACTGTACTGTGTCCATAATGGCTGCGTCACACGTAAACCACCACCCAGGAAGTCGCTCTACGTTCCGAGTACACAGGCTTCCCAAAGCACCCCCGAGCAGGGGGGGTCTGAGGGGGACTGGCTTCCATCTCCTTGCCCATATGCGCTTTGTCCTGGAACTGCTCTGCGCCAATCGGGTCTCCTCCATTCCTTGCAGGTGTCCGACTCCCACTTCACTAAAGAAAGGCGCAACTCCCCTCTTACCAGGAATAAATACGGGACAAGCCAAAGCCCACGTGCCAGATGAGCGTCCTTTCATCAGACCGCAAAGCGGGCCCCTTCCCACACCAGGCTATCTCATCAAGAGATGCACTTCCAAATATATCTTACTGTTCTAAGAATTACTTAGCAAAATTTATAATATATTTCCTAGTTTTATTCAGTGTAATCTACTAATTATAACGACTTGATCCATGGGAAAAATATTTACACTGGGGGTTACTAGAAATAAACCAAAATTTGTATGTATTCATTTTGTGGCAGAGAAATATGTAGGGTAATGAATATTTTCAAAGTTTAAGCAATAAAAAGTATACTAACAAAAAAGACTATGAGATATATGCAATGGAAATACTACAGAGGAAAAGGAACAATGAAATAATATTTTTGACTACAGAAAAAAGACTTGCTTGTATATTTCTAAATAGATGATGACAGGTATCAGATTGCTCTGATAGTTATCATCCATGGGATACATATGGGACTGATGTAATGGTTTTATTTTTAAATGCCAGTATTTCCCAATTTAAAGCTACTCGAGTAACTATTTAAAGCTCTTACTAAAAACATTATAGATGTAGATCTAAAAATGTGAGACAGGGTACACTGTTTTTAAATTTCCTTAGGGGATATGTAAACAAATTAAAGATCCCTGTCCTAAACACATCTTTGTAGTCAAAAGATATCAGCACCCCAGTTTATTTCTCAAAATATTTAAAATCACAAGAGGCAAAATATATGATGTGAGTAACAAACATTTCTTAAAACCATGAAGTTAAGTCATGGTTAAACCAAAAAGAGAGAAGAGGTTAAAAAGCAAAGGCTAAGATGAGTCGGGTACAGATCAACTAATTAAAATAGGATAATTTTTAAAAATTAATTTTTAAGAATTACTGACTTTTGTATCCCATAAGGGAATAAGAGTTATTTCTAGAATCTTTGCAAAAGTCTATGAAGAGGACAGAATGGAATCTCTGCTTAGTTAAAAGGCAAACTGTGAATTTCGTAAGCCATCTTATGAAATAAAAAATGTGATTACAGTAGAAAAATACATTTACTAGGTTACTGTGTCATCTACTTTTCACCTATAATACAAGTAATATGACTAAAAATTCACTTGCATGAAGATAAGGTATTTACCAAAGATGATATGGAAGAAAAATAATCTAATAGCTCTCTAGGTCCATTCCTTGGGCAGGTTTTCCCTTAAAGGAATATTCTAAAGGCTGTCCAATACTGGAACTGGCAGTTAGCAAGGCCTGGTTTTGACTGTACTGAGCTAGACAGGAAGCCCAGGGCCCACCCAACATCAATGTCGCAGGGATACTGGCACCCTCTAGTGGTGCGACGGCAGAACTTCACCTACAGCTTAGTAATTCTCCAGCAGCCAATGATAAAGATACTGACATGTCTGAAGCAGAAAAGACTCAGCCTGCACAGATGAACCAATGGACCGGGCTGTGCGAGGCCCAAGCACCACCACTTGGAATCTGTTATTCACTCACTGCCTTCCTGACAAATAATACGGGATTCCCTGGGTCACGGTAAGCATTTCACACTGGCTGCACTTCCAGATATACACCAGGAAGGCCTGACCACACTGAGCTCAGCCTCAGCCACCAGCACACTGGACAAAGTGGACCTGTCAGAACCACAGTGCTCATAACTACTGCCAACCAGGTCGGGAAACAGAACATCAACCCCCAAGTTCTCCATGAGCCCCATCTCCATCCCAAACCCCATTCTCTCCCCAAAAGTAATCACTGTTTTGACTTTCACAGTAACCACTTCCTTGTGTTTTAAAATAATTTTATCACGTGAAGTATGGGACCTAAATATCAGATTTTTGCCTGCCATTTGAAGTTTCATACAAGTGTAATCATATGGACGTTATCTGTGTCCCTTTCAGTCAACATAAAGTTAATGACATTCTTCTACACAAGGGGACAAACTACTGCCTATGGACCAAATCTGGCCTACCACCTGTCTTTGTAAATAAAGTTTATAGGGAATATAGCCACATTCATGTGGATATATACAGTTTATTATTGCTCCTGTAGCTCTGGGGGGAGTGTGCTCCCAGCTGAGGGCTAATAAACCACTGAAACCGGTGAAGCAGAAATCAGTCAAGGGAAGGGTTAGACGGCAGAAGCGCTTTATTGCTTATAAGGGGCCTGATTCCATTCATTCCTCTCTGGCAGTCACTCTCACTGCCGGTTTTCTCCTCAATCTGGCCTGTGCTCGCCTCTCCCCCGCCCCTTCCGGAGGAAACCCCCGCAAGTGGAGCCCAAGTGACTGACAGGTGCCAAACCAATTGCACAACAGGGGGGTGGAGAGAACAGCTTCTCTCCATCCCCTGTCCCTGGGGGCTGTGGGAAGAAACACCTGTTAATATGGAAATGGCCTAAATTCAGGTGAGGGATCCTAGAAATACTGCAATTTTACTCACCTCCACACTCCAATAGCCACGTTGAGTTGTAATGACATAGACCCAATAGTTTGCGAAATATTTCTATCTGGCCCTTTACCAAAAAAGTTTGCTGATCCCTGCTCTGTGTTCTGCATATAACTGTACTTCATTTACCTGCACTTAGAAACAAGGCAGTTTACTTATCCGGTCTATTGCTGGCGGACATTTGGGTTACTGCAGTTCAGGGATAATGCAGATAATGTTACAAGTAGCTTTCCTTCAGACTAAAAATACATCCTTTAAAATCTCCTTTATTGAGGGCTTACTGGTGGTCAACTTTGAAAATTCATTTCATCTACTTTCTTGAAAGATATATTTGCTGAATATAAAATCTAGGTTGACAGGTATATTTCTCTCAATATATTACTCCAATGTCTTTCGGCTCTTATTGTTAAGAACACTGCTTTAATTTATAACTGTTACTTCTTTGAAGATAATCAGTATATTTTCTCTGGCTGCATTAAGAATCTTCTCTGTCTTTTGTGCGCATGTATGAGTTGTTAGATCTGTTAGTATGTTTCCAAGTGAATTTTTAAACAGAATCTGCTTGTATTCATTACATGTTTTGAATCTGTAGATTTGTTTTGTAACCAGTTCTAGACAGTACCACACAGATGAACCTTGAGGACTTAATGTTAGATACTAAAGGACAAATACTGTATGATTTCACTTATATAAGGTGCCTAGAGTCGGCAAATTCAGACAGAAAGTAGAAGCAGGGTTTGCTAGAAGGCTTGAGGGAGGTAGGAAAGGAGAGCTGGTATTTAATTGGGGGAGAGTTTCAGCTGGGAAGGTGAGGAGTTGTGTGGTCAGACGGTGATGGCTGCACAAGTGAGAATGCGCTTAGCAGCACTGAACTGTACATTTAGAATGGGTTAAGATGGTAAATTATACATTATGTGTATTTTACCACAATTTTTGAAAAAAAGTTTGCAGAGAAGCTGACAGTCTATATTTCTTCAATGAATAGCCAACAGAATTATCTGAAGTTATACTCTTGCTTTCCAAATAGCCATGTGACAAAAACATCCTTTAACTCTAAAATCAAAGGCCCACAAGTTTAAGGACTATACCATCCATTCCCTTCCCTGTGAATTATGTGTGAATTTAATGTGGAAAGTCCAACGTTCAATTATTTCATTTCTAGTTCCTACAGCTTAGGAATACAATTTCCAATACTGAGCCTCTTGCAACAAATTTTACTCTACCTGATAATCTGAATCTCTTACATACATTAAAAGGTAAAATAAATTTCACTAGGTAGAATCAACACAAAGAGGCTTTTCTACTAAGCCTTTGCTGACTGCTGGTTCATGGTCACACTCAATGAGATTTCTTGCTTTGTATCTTAAATACACACTGCTCGCCACACTCAGGGATCCCTGGAGAGATTACTTTACTATTTGAGGTTGTAAACTGAATGGATTTTTCTTGCATTCTCAAACTCTTAATGGGAAAAAAGTGTTGGCTTATGATTAAAGATTCACACAGTGAAAGCACCATTAAAATGTAAACAGAAATGACAATTTGTAATAGTTTCAATAAATGTTCAGACATATGCTTACAGTAAAAGCAGTTGGTAAAAATATTTTAAATGAAGAGATTATGTCTCCTACAGACCTAGTGGATAACAAAGCAAATGTTTCCATACCTGCTGTTTCCTGTCCATGACAGGTATTCAGTTCAGCCAGAAGCTTGTTAAAGTCATCTTGATGAGCAATCCAGTTGTCCTGAAAACACCAAAAAAATCAATTAGAGGCAGCTTGTAGTTTTCCTACACTGGCTGAGATAAAATATATCTTGGAAATCAAGGAAATCTGGTGGCTGTGAAATTTTAAGTGTTTCTCAAAATATTACTTTATAAATTTGAATTAAGAAAATATACATTTGAAATGCTATTTACCTGTATCAATATTAAAAAGTGGACCTCTGGGATGCTTAGTCCCGGTTTCAAATGTGGACAACTTACCAATAGTCAACTTAGAGTTAAATAATCGACAGGCAAACCTATGTGCTAAATATTAAAATAAAGCAAATTATTTTTTTCTAAGAGAAAAGTACGTAGATCAAAGGAGAAAAAGAAGTGATAGACTTGGGGGCTCTCTTCTGTGCTCATTTAAGTTCAAAATACTTTGCCCAGTTCTATTTCCCTGCATCTTTTACAAAACAACAGCAGAGGAAGTAGGAAGACTCCATGCTTCCCCAGTCAACCGCCCCCATGTGTGAGGTGGCCAGCTAATAATTTCATCGTAACAAAGAAAATTTGGCTTTAAAAGAGAATGAACATCTCTAAGACAATCTAATCCGGTGGGGAGCACGGTATCAAGCAGGAGTTCACTTCACACACACTTGTTAAACAATGCTTAAGGTTAGGCATATTAAACAGGCTTACTGGGAAATGCTTTTCCTAAAAAATTAAGTGTATCGGTATATCTCTCTACAACTACCTTCACAATTAACCTCTATGAACTCTTCCTTCAGTGGTTTAAAACTTTTGCTGCCAGTCCAGAAAGATTTAGCCGCTCTAGTCTATTACCAGCACACTGAACTCAAAAAATCATTCTGTTTATCTAAAGTCATTTTGCAGATTTTCTACCAGATTTTGTTGGCTATAAAAATTCAAGAACAAAGCTTTCTGCTCACTTTCCAAAGCAAATCAGAATACTGAAAATGAAAAGCATGACAGGCCACTGATTTTCATTAGTGTCATATTTCCCAAATGTCAGTATTCAAGAGCAAATGTGAATAAATCCACCTGCTATTCCAACAGCCAGAAACAGGCAGCGAGACAGGAAAAAACTACCTGCAGAAGAATCCTTTGGTTTCTTTCTGAAACTAAAAGCCACCAAATGTTAATAATGTAAGCTAATATTAGAACACAGGTAAAGATGAAAAAGTCCTTTCTCTCCTGAAATGAACATTTCTATAAAAAGAATACTTTCAGCAAAGTTTAGCAATAAAACTAGTTTGGATCTCTTAGACAGCAGCAACTAAAGAATCCCAGCAGGACAGCAAGGCAAGGTGAGGGCATGTTGCTAGCTGAACAGCCAGATGAGTTATGAGCTCTTTAGTTAACCAATCTCGGAGGATGTATACTTGAATAGTTGATAACTGACCAATCAATTTCATTGGGTTAAAATGTTATATTTCACAAAAAAAGTCAATTACGCAGTGAAAACCCCCAGCAGACACCATTGCTCACTTCATTATTGATTGTAGCTCCAAGTCCCAGGTGGTTATTTTTAACTTGCACTTTAATGTGATCCGTGGCTCCTTGCTCCTGAGCCCCTAAACCCTGTGGAGATCAAACACAGAGAGAGTCAGCATTTTTATATGTACAGAGAGACATTACTTCTTTTTCCTTCATCAACCACTCGATTAATCACTAAACACCTAGGAGTGAGACACTATCCTTGCCCTCAAAGAGGACACAGACCAATGTATTCCTTCAAGGCACGTCTGTGGTAGCAGGGGAGCACCTGCAAGAATGAATGCCAATTCTTCAAACTGAGACTCACGTCGAGGCCCACGGAAACACCAAGGAGAACATGCCTTTTTCTGACACAAGCAGAGTGCCACCTCAAAACTACTAGAATCCCATTGGAGGAATTATGGGTCTGTGGCTCTTTCCATTAGATCATTTTACAAAACAACACTGAGAGGAGCTGGGAGACCCCAAATCCCCTGCATCAATCGACACTCATTTGTGAAGTGTCCCAGAGAGCTGGGTGTACTGGAGAGCCTAAAGAGGCACCTGGGGTGGCTCCAGCACATGAATAAAGGGAAAAGAAGATGGCATGAAGAGGCTAGACCACACAGGACCTTGGAAATCATGGTGTGAATTTGGACTTAATTGTTTAAGCAAGGAAATGACATGATCTAATGTCTATAACTTAAAAGATCATTCTGGCTGTGGTATAGCAAATGGCCCAGAGAAGGAAAAGAAGGGATGTAGGGAAGAAGTTGAGAGGCTATTGCAGTGATCAGGCCAAGCAACACATGTGGTCGGCCTGGGCTGGTGCCCTGGGCAGAGAGGAAAAATGCCTGGGGATGCAGGGGACTGACAGAGGTGGAGCAACCGAGCACGACTCGCAGGTTTTAGGCCAGGTAAGACAGTAGATGGGGCACCATTTGCAAAAATGGGGAGAACTGGAGATGGAAAAGATTCGGGGGACCCAAAGTTTTAAAATAAAAACCATAAACCTGAGATGCTTACTCAAGTGGAAATGTCAAACAGGCTGATGAATTTACAAACTTGCTCAAGAAGACAGATCTGGACTAGATAATTCAGACTCAAAGCATGGTATGGAATGAATGAGCTCACCTGTACACCTAGGAGTGAGACACTATCCTTGCCCTCAAAGAGGACACAGACCAATGTATTCCTTCAAGGCACGTCTGTGGTAGCAGGGGAGCACCTGCAAGAATGAATGCCAATTCTTCAAACTGAGACTCACGTCGAGGCCCACGGAAACACCAAGGAGAACATGCCTTTTTCTGACACAAGCAGAGTGCCACCTCAAAACTACTAGAAGCCCATTGGAGGAATTATGGGTCCGTGGCTCTTTCCATTAGATCATTTTACAAAACAACACTGAGAGGAGCTGGGAGACCCCAAATCCCCTGCATCAATCGACACTCATTTGTGAAGTGTCCCAGAGAGCTGGGTGTACTGGAGAGCCTAAAGAGGCACCTGGGGTGGCTCCAGCACATGAATAAAGGGAAAAGAAGATGACATGAAGAGGCTAGACCACACAGGACCTTGGAAATCATGGTGTGAATTTGGACTTAATTGTTTAAGCAAGGAAATGACATGATCTAACGTCTATAATTTAAAAGATCATTCTGGCTATGGTATAGCAAATGGCCCAGAGAAGGAAAAGAAGGGATGTAGGGAAGAAGTTGAGAGGCTATTGCAGTGATCAGGCCAAGCAACACATGTGGTCGGCCTGGGCTGGTGCCCTGGGCAGAGAGGAAAAATGCCTGGGGATGCAGGGGACTGACAGAGGTGGAGCAACCGAGCACGACTCACAGGTTTTAGGCCAGGTAAGACAGTAGACGGGGCACCATTTGCAAAAATGGGGAGAACTGGAGATGGAAAAGATTCGGGGGACCCAAAGTTTTAAAATAAAAACCATAAACCTGAGATGCTTACTCAAGTGGAAATGTCAAACAGGCTGATGAATTTACAAACTTGCTCAAGAAGACAGATCTGGACTAGATAATTCAGACTCAAAGCATGGTATGGAATGAATGAGCTCACCTGGGTGGGGGGGGCACAGCAGAGGGCCTGGGGCTGAACCCTGAGGACCCGCAAAAGTCTGGAGGAGGAAGAGCCGGCAATAAATTTAGGAATGGCCAATGAGGTAGAAGGAAAAATCAGGAGACAGGCAGAAAAAAAAGGCAGCCAAGATGGAAAGAAGTACTTCCAGGAGGAGTCAATTATGCCCAGTGCTGCTAAGCGGTTAAGCAGTCTGGTAACAAAAAAAGGATCCCTTGGATTTGGCAACAAAATCATAAAGCTCTTGATAAGAACCACTTAAGAGTAGAGCTACCAGCAGAGGTCCTTCTTGAGTCAGGAATAAATTGAATCTAACGAAAAGGAGAAAATGTGTAGTCTGGCTATGAAGTGGAATAAAACATTACTTTTTAGCAATACAAAATGCTGACGGTTAAGTATGATTACAAGTGCAAACTAGTTAAAAGGCACTGTCTGTGAAAGATGCCAATCACGGCAGTTCAAATGATAGAGTCGACATTTACGTTCAGTTCTAACTTTATCATCACAAGGCCACTATAGGTTAGGTATTTCTTCAAAATCACTTATCAATCTACAAAATAATTTCTCCCAGTTTCCTAAGAGAGATGCAGTCTCCTGGTTTGTGCTGTCTTTGCGTGGCTCTGACATCTTTTGCTCCTCTCTGAATACCTTTCCCTTAGACCACCCCATCTTCTCGAGCATCCTCTGGCCGAACTTGGAATCATCATTACTCCACGCCGTGTTTCTTGGATCCACAGCCCACTTCTGCTTCCGTCGACCTGCAAATGACAAAGTATCTCATCAGCAATTTAGCTGTTAAACCTGGAAAATGCCACGCAAATACACATGGACCTAATACACACACACACCTGCCTAAAATGGCACACATTGTTTTGTTAGGTACAGATGAAGATTCAGCATCCCATGAAATGTCATCAGATTGGATCATTTATCCTGTTTTCTGCCAATTACTGTATAATTTCAAAATACAAATTGGCTTGATCAAGGTAAAAATTAAAATGTCACTTCTAAATGTGACAAACTGAAATACATGACAGACCATCAGTGGGGCCTCCCCCATTCCACTAGAGGCAGCGACTTGAAACGCCTGTGGACACCGGTGACATCACCACCAGCAGAAGCAGCCATTGCAGCTTTTGTTGCCACACATCCTGTCGCCCTCACAAAATTCAAACGTAAACCACAGCCAGGTGAGAAATTTGGAGTTCAAGCGCCATCATTCACCTACCGCACCAATCGAAGCGCAGCGTCTCACTGGCAACAGCAACCTCGTGCCTTGGCAATCTCTTGACATAATTTAAAATAATAACTCCCAAAGAGGCTCCCTATACTGCATATAAAGTCAATAGAGACCCATAACTACACACATACTAGCAAAAATAAGTAGACGTTTTAATAGCACACAGGCAGAAAGAGGTCACTTATTAAGCAAAACAAGCTGAGCTCAAATTGACAGCTTTGCAGGAAAAAGCTGACCCCAAAATGCCACACAGGACTAAGGTACCACTTTACTTATCTTCGTAAACACCCAGCATAACACTGCCTCTACTAGGGAACATGCCAGTGATGAACCGTATTCACCAGTGTTCCCTCTGCGAGGCTGCTTACTGGTGTGTGTCTCCGAAGGGTAGTGCTAGCAGCCAGGGGACTCTGGCTGGGGCTTGCCTGAAGGAGCCATTTTTGAGAGTGGCAGCCCAGCTTCCACCGTGGGTGCTGTGTGCCACGCGCTACCTACGGCAGACTGCATTGCTTACCCAAGGGACTGGATGCAGCCAGCTCTGTTCCTCTTCGCAGAGAAATGACAGGAGAGTGTTTCGCAGATGAGTATGTTAAATGGCGGAGAGGCTTGCATTAAAGTAAACAAGAGAAACACTAGGCAGACACAATGGAAGTGTTTCATATGGCAGACTTGCCAGAACTGTCAATATGCAGGTATGCAGATCCTTGATCTTCTTAGAGATGCAGCAGGAGTGCTGTGTTTCCCAAACTTATTCGATCAGTACCTCACTCCCTGGAATATTTTTTGGTGCTAGTGTTAGAAGTTTCCAAGTTTGGGAAATTCTGGCCAGGAAAAGACCGTCTCTGGTCTGCTCAGATTGGATCAACTTTGACACGGGCTTTGTTCTTATTCCATAGTCTGTTCTGTGCTCACATGTCTGCTTTAATAACTCCATGTGCAGAAAAGGCCTGATTGCTATCCTTTGAAAAGCTTGCTTAGGTTTGCCACCAAATGGGGACTTGGATTTCAGGAGGGGTCCCACCATATCTGATAAGAGTGGCTGACTATGCCTAACCGTTTATACAAATGATGTTTTACCCTGAATACCTGCTTTCCCTCTAGGAGTCTGGAATTTTGGTCCACACCAGGTAGAGCCTGCCTACAAGCCTGCACCAAGTCCTTAACAAGCTTCCCTGGTTGGCAATAGTTCACAAGTGTTGTCACAACGTATACTGGGGTAATTGAGTGTGTCCTATGTGACTCCACTAAGAGAGGACCCTGGAAGCCTGTGCTGGATTTCCCCTGGAATTCTGTCCCAAGCATCTTTCCCCTTGGATGAAATTATCTGTATCCTTTAGCTGTAATAAATCTTAGCCACGAGTTACAACTACATGCTGAGTCCCATATACTGAATCCTAGCAAATCACTGAATCTAGGGATCGTTGGGGGGATGCCTGACACTATGTGAAACAGCAGTATAAGGGACAACCTGGGCCTCGGGGTAGAGGCCTTGAATCTGCAGAATCACCATTTGGGATGATGTGTTTGACCATCCTCTAATTGGAGGGACTCCTCCTGTTTGGAGATATAACTGTAAACAGTTCCATCAGGATACTTCTGGGGGTACTCCCAATACAGCCTCCACACAACAGCTATAAAAGGACTTCACTTTTCAATCACTCTATGCCTAAGATGTCTGCAGAGTCTTAAGAACCAGGAACAGAAGTTTTGTCTTTTTTAAAAAACATTTTCAGATATGTAAGAGCTCAAAATATATCACCCATGTACCAGGTTTCTTATTAAAAATTGATTCAAGACATATTCAAGATGAAGGAAACTGCAGTGCAAAACCTTAGGGCAAAAAGCATTAAAAATCCATCAAATATAGTGTTGTGATTTAATTATAAAATGTAATGACTGCCAAGTGTTGAAAATTGCTACTAAAAAGTAAAGTCTATGAAAAAAGTAGTATCTTGATAGAAATCTGGGTCTAAGATTACAAATTACATAGAGACGGGGAAGTGAGAGTAATAAATGAAATTCTTGTTTTACATAGGGGAGGCTGCTTAAGCTAGATTTCTTGTCTTAAAAAGGGGAGACCCAAAAAAATAACATTTGAAAATCAGAGAAACACAGTATAAAGAATGTTTCAGAAACACAAAGAAAACTAGATTTAAGAATTAGGATAAGTGTTTGTGATGAAGATTTAAAAAACAACAAAATACAGTCCATACGGCAAGAAAAAACAAAGGAACTAGCATACTCAAGTGAAAATGTTCACTAATTTTAAACAGAAAAAAAGTAAGTTACAAAACCGTACCTACAGTATTATCTCAATTTTATAAACTACCAGAGCAAATAATTGCAGGGTAGTGAAATTCTGGGACTGGGACTTCTCTATGCTTCTATTTCCTCATCTCTAAAATAAGAATACCAGTCCTAAATACCTAATCACAAGTGACGTCATAGACATTGATTTAGCAAATCATTTAAAAAGACAACACTAAGTAGTATATATTATCAGGAGAAAAATTTGAAAATTTGGGATCTTGAGAGGAAAGGAAAACTGAAAGTATTCCCTTGAAATAATGCAGTTTGAATTACTGATGTCTACGAACAGCATTTCACATTTGTGTACCACTTCATACTCTCAACTATTTTCACGTTCATCACCGCATTGATTTTTTTATGCCAACCTAGTGAAGATAAAGAGAAATTTTTAATAGCCCTACAAAATATGGAAAGAGACATAAATGAATAGCAGAGCCAGTGTTCCCAGATACATACGGAATTAAGCACAGACGAATTAAAACCAGAAAAGATTTTGAGGAGCTGGTTTCATAGATGAAGAAATAGAGCCCACAGACAGGGTCATCATCTATATTATTTTCTGTAAGTTCCTATTTAAAAGTAATAGAAAACTGCTGCCCCTAGTGACAAGCTCGTAAAGACATAGGGATAACTAGATGAATCTCGTCACTTTTTAGCTCAGTGACCTGGGGCAAATTTTTTTTTTGTGAACCTCAATTTCAGCCCCCTGTAAAATTGACATGGTGCGTTTACCCATTTCGTTTTGTGCTCCCGGTTCCTCCACCCACTTAGATAAGAGGATGCTGGCGGCACATCTTTCACAACATCCCCAAGTAGTTCCCGTTGGTCTGCTAAAGCAGCTGTTGTGCTCAGTGCACACCATGCGCTTCTAAAAAGTTATGCGCCGGCTTTTCACGACCGAAGCGCGACTGCCATCTGGTGGCAGGCAGCCTTAGCTCCAAGTACCGCTCGGAAGTTACGGGGCCTCTCCCTCCGCGGGGAGCGAATCGTGAACTTTACTCCACAGTGACAGAAAGTGTCAAAGGCAAACGGGCAGGAGGGGGCTGTGCGGCCAGCACTCCTGTCACCGAAAAGTGTTAGTAATTCCAACTAACAAAGTAAAAACCGCCACAGTCTTACTTAGAAGCACTCATTAGCCCTGCATCGTCCCCTAAAACAGGCTGACTTGCTGTGTCGGATGCTTCTAACCCCTCTGCTTTTCTTTCCCTGGGTTCAGGAATCTTCGAGAACGGGATGCCACTGCCCTAGGAGGCTCCTGCCATCCAGAGCTGGCGGAGGCCGGGGCTCCCAGCCCCGCGCTCTGACGCGCACCCGAAGGCCGCGCGCGTGCCCGCCTGAGCGTGAGGACACGTTCCCGGGGCCACTCGCGGCCTCTCGCTGGCGCACCGGTAACCACTCCCGGGCCAGGCCGCGCTGGGGAGTCTCCGCGGCCCGCAGTGGGGGCCGAACCCGGCTTCCCCGGCCCACCGCGCGCCGGGGACCCGCCCCCTGCACCGGTCGGCCCGGCCGGCGGGACGCCCGGAACCGTCGCCCTCGCACCCCGGTCCGGCCTTCGCGCCCAGCACTCACGCTCGGCCAGCATCGACATGTCGCCGAGCCTACGACGCCGCGGGCCGGCCCGGGAACAAGCGGGAACGAACACACACGCTGGGTAGACGGCAGCGGCGGAGGCGCTCGCTGGTGACGTCATGAGGCGCGACGCGCTCCTCCACCACGCGGCGGCCAGGGAGCCTGGGGGATGGCCTGGGAGCTGGGCGTGGAAATGTGGGCGGTGAGGGATTGGAGACCCCCAGCGGGCGCGGCCGCGGGTCACTGGTAGAAATGCGTGTGCGTTCATTCGCTTGCGGAAGTTCCTGTACTGAACGATGGGGTATCTGTACAGTCTTTGTAAGAGTGCCCCAGAGCGGGACCTCAGTAGGGGTACCAATCCTGAGGTTATCCTCATCATTTAATTCTTAAATGCCAAGCTTGGTGCTTTCTGGAAATAAGATGAAAAAATAAACAAAGGGGAAATCTCACTAACTTCCTTCTTCTCCATAAAATAATGTTCCTCTCCATTGTTCTCTGGACTTGCCAATGGATTTTTTGCAGCATGTGTGTCCTGAGTCACAATTCTGTTAGGCCTAAAAAAACATTTTTGCTGGTAAAATAACCGACAGTCTTAGCTCCAAGTACCGCTCGGAAGTTACGGGGCCTCTCCCTCCGCGGGGAGCGAATCGTGAACTTTACTCCACAGTGACAGAAAGTGTCAAAGGCAAACGGGCAGGAGGGGGCTGTGCGGCCAGCACTCCTGTCACCGAAAAGTGTTAGTAATTGCAACTAACAAAGTAAAAACCGCCACAGTCTTACTTAGAAGCACTCATTAGCCCTGCATCGTCCCCTAAAACAGGCTGACTTGCTGTGTCGGATGCTTCTAACCCCTCTGCTTTTCTTTCCCTGGGTTCAGGAATCTTCGAGAACGGGATGCCACTGCCCTAGGAGGCTCCTGCCATCCAGAGCTGGCGGAGGTCGGGGCTCCCAGCCCCGCGCTCTGACGCGCACCCGAAGGCCGCGCGCGTGCCCGCCTGAGCGTGAGGACACGTTCCCGGGGCCACTCGCGGCCTCTCGCTGGCGCACCGGTAACCACTCCCGGGCCAGGCCGCGCTGGGGAGTCTCCGCGGCCCGCAGTGGGGGCCGAACCCGGCTTCCCCGGCCCACCGCGCGCCGGGGACCCGCCCCCTGCACCGGTCGGCCCGGCCGGCGGGACGCCCGGAACCGTCGCCCTCGCACCCCGGTCCGGCCTTCGCGCCCAGCACTCACGCTCGGCCAGCATCGACATGTCGCCGAGCCTACGACGCCGCGGGCCGGCCCGGGAACAAGCGGGAACGAACACACACGCTGGGTAGACGGCAGCGGCGGAGGCGCTCGCTGGTGACGTCATGAGGCGCGACGCGCTCCTCCACCACGCGGCGGCCAGGGAGCCTGGGGGATGGCCTGGGAGCTGGGCGTGGAAATGTGGGCGGTGAGGGATTGGAGACCCCCAGCGGGCGCGGCCGCGGGTCACTGGTAGAAATGCGTGTGCGTTCATTCGCTTGCGGAAGTTCCTGTACTGAACGATGGGGTATCTGTACAGTCTTTGTAAGAGTGCCCCAGAGCGGGACCTCAGTAGGGGTACCAATCCTGAGGTTATCCTCATCATTTAATTCTTAAATGCCAAGCTTGGTGCTTTCTGGAAATAAGATGAAAAAATAAACAAAGGGGAAATCTCACTAACTTCCTTCTTCTCCATAAAATAATGTTCCTCTCCATTGTTCTCTGGACTTGCCAATGGATTTTTTGCAGCATGTGTGTCCTGAGTCACAATTCTGTTAGGCCTAAAAAAACATTTTTGCTGGTAAAATAACCGACAGCTTTATTTTTAAGATTAGAATATGAATTCTGCCTTCAAGTAACTTACGGTCTAATGAGGAAAAAAGAAGTATGTGAACAACTGTCTGTAGGGTGGTCAGCTTTATTAAAACAGCATGTCCAAGGCATTTGAAAAACTCTCCAAAAGGGGGAAGACTTTGTCCTATGGTGGCCTCTGTTCTTAACGTCCTTCCTCTGCCCACTAAGATAGATAGACGGATAGCTATCTACCTGTCTGTGGGATCCGAAGTAAGCAGATAATTCAATCTAGGGGAAGTACCTCCTTTTGAATAACATGATGTCTTCAGCAAGACAAAGGTTTTAATTTTTTTCCTCTCCATTACAACGTGCACTCGGGAACTTTGCCTTTATCATATTCATCTCTGTATCCGTACCAGCACCTAGCAAAACAATTCAAGCATGGCAGGGGCGCCAGCGATGTTTGTGAATTTGGACCAAAGTACCTATGTCAGTGGACGAGGGCTATTGAGATTCTGGCAAAGAACGTTTAATAGCCA